CAATTCAATTGATTGAATATCGATTTCTACCATTGTTAAGAACACAACAAGACCACAAAGAAACTGCATGTCGCTTTAAGTCATCAATTTCGTTGTAATCTAAAGAGTGTCCTAAATTTACCTTCTTCGGGAAATAGCTGTTGTCTGGTAAAGAAAAATAACTATATATTTCTACAGCGAAGCTGTTCTACGAACGATTTATTAGAATATCAAATATTTGCCTTCGATCAATATTCCATCTATCTGTGTTGATTCAACCTATCAAACATAGTTTTTGCAAATATTAGATGTGTTTGAACTCAAGGATCACATTTCAACGTGACATGAGATAAAAACAGAGTGTCAGAAAAGTCACTGTAAAAAGAAAAAGTTGAATATTTTTATTGTGCTTTTATTAAATCAGTTGGCTTTTTCCTGATAGTAGAGAATAAATTCAGTTTAGATGTAGAGTATGATTCAGAGTGGATGTTGACGAAGAGAAAAGACCAACACCCACCGGAGGCCAAAACCGAATCGAATTGAATAGTACTTCCGAATTGACTTGAATAAAAGTATTTCTGTCATATTCAGTTGCTATTAATATTTTTATATGATCGCTAAGAGGTGAAACACAGAAAGAAAAATAATAATGTTAAAATAAGCAATCTGATTTATATAAAACTTAAAACTTAATTTTGTCATCTTTTTTTCCGAGATAACTTAATTTTTAATGTACCAATCAAGTTATAGCCCGATCGAGCATAAAAGAACAATCAAATATATGTGAGTAAACAAATGAATGAAGCGGTGGCTTTCGAAAATTTACTTTTTTATTATTTTCATTTTTGTATAAAGATGATACTGAATTATAATTAGAGTATTAACTATTATACTATTCATGAATACTGATTTAAGACAAACATTGAACTGTTTTATTTCTTTCGTGTGCATAAGATCTAATATCTTATCATAACCTAGATAGTATCTAAAAATGCGTAGTATGGCCTTTAAAACCGTCTGAACCGAATAAAACTGAATCGAATCGAATCGAATCGAATCGAGTTGAACTTTTGTCATTCGTTTTGGTCCCTCGTACAAACTGGATTGCTTCGCGAAAAAGATTTTATTGTTGTGCCTTTACTTGAGTTCTGGAAAGTCGTATAAGATATCATACGAATGAAAATATTCTAAATCTGTAGGATCGAACCTGTAAATACTGTTACCGATATACAAAAGTGTGAAAAATTCGCAGATGAATCCAAATAGAAGGGTGTGGATGTGATGTGGGTGTAAAGGTGGGTATCGAACTATTCTCCTATCAAATACATACTCACACCCACACCATTATTCTCTACGAAATAGACTATTTCTGTTCAATTTTTGTAGTAAAAGGCAACTCTTGCACTGATGTAGAGTTTCCGATTTCTTGTTCAGAATAAAAACTTTCACATGAGTGTATCAATTCAATTCTTAGATAGAAAGTTTGACAATACTGATATCCTTAACTATATACTTTGACTCTTACACTACTAACACTATTAAGACGACTATCTTCATTATTCTTCAGATCTAATCTTTTCATCAGTTTTTGCTGATAAAGATATAAGATGTTATTTAAATTTGCTACAAAAGCAAAGTCTCCATTAACTTGAAGGAACCATATTCTACTAATAGTTCTTCATCTTTATTATGAAATTTTCTTAGTTTGAAAACATTATGGTAAACTTACTTGTGATTGTAGTACTTGTGATCTGTGCCAGCGTCGTATTTGTCACTATTCATCAATACAAAACATTTGTATTAAAAACTTTTCAGCTTAGAAGCATGTATCTTTTTCTTCTCAATGTCGTCTATCTATCCTCATTATTTGTACATTTTACAAGCCAAAAGTATTTCGAAATAGAATTAATACTGACAGTATCTTATCTTCAATCAGATTACACATTTTCTAGTTACTAGTTGGTTGCGGTGAATAGATATTTTCATTCACTATTGACAATGGATAACAAACGGAAGAATCGCTACATCGAGAATGATGAACACATATGATCTGGATTAGAACAATCTTATGATGATCCACATGGAACAAGTTGAGAATAGAATTTCCAAAGAAAAGCACAAATACCAATATTATAAGCACCTATCATAGGAAAGCAAACCACATGCACTATTACTTGAACAATGATCATATGAGACTGTGCTATGACATATTGGAAAGTCTACTCGAATTATTAGACACAACTATATTATAGATAAACATATAAGATGAAATAGTAAATAAACCTATTGAACTAAAATGAAGTACATTTAGTTTTAGAAAATTCAGAAAAAGACGAAATTTTCAATACCTTAAAAGAATAAAAAAGAAACAGCCTATTATTGTTTTTGTTGTCATTGTAGATTAAATTTGAATGAGAAAATATTTTTACAAAAGTACACTTTTGTTCTTCGTAATAGATAGTCATCATTGACAATCATATTTGAAAATTGGAAAGTGAGATATATAATCCCTCGATAATTGGAAACATGATTCTGTTTTTATCAATTCTAGAATGCTTAATCCTAGCGAATGAAAAAGTGACGAAGAAACATTACCAAGTATCCAATCGCTTTTTCATTAAAAAGCTATTAAGTTAATGATTCTTCATAATGCTGATTCTAAATATGGATATAACAAAACCTTTTAGATCTTTAAAGGAGGAGAAAGATGCCAGAAAACTCCGCAATGGTCCTATTCTAAAATTTCATCTGATCTAGGTGGATTATAGTATTTCATATTCACGCAAATTCCTCAGAGTGCGATTGAACGAACAGATGCCTTTCTTTTACCTATATTCTCATTCTCATTCTCAACCATCATCAAGACTTTAATAGACTGCGGTATTTATCAGTAAAAATCTATACATTAAAAAGTACGTTAGAAAGCAAGTGTTCTGTATTAGAAATATAGGTTTACATATGTTCCAATTGGTAGTATCTTTGAGTTCGATTGAACTAGTTCCACCTTGAGTGAGTCATACATCGCATTAGAATTAATTCGACACGTTGTGTATAGCCCACATAATGTCGATCCATTCATTTCTGCACATATCGGTAACATAGCATTAAGGTTCTTGCTTTCCAGAAAGTATTTAACATTATCTTCAGACTATAGACTCAGCGCATGTGGCAAGGTTCGAGGTGATGGAGTTCTTTTAATTGACAAGCAAAACAGTTTAGTCTTATATCAAACTAAACATTATCACTTACGAAAGGACAGCTGAAGGCTTAATATCGACAATATGCGTAGTCGATACGTGATTGCTAATCGCTGCTGGTACAATTGTGAGGTGTGGGTGTGGGTGAGGGGTGAGGGTTTAAGTAAGAGAAAGACACTCGTACCTACCCTATGAATATAATGGACAAAAAAGAATTCAGTCGATCCTTTTACTTAATGATAATATTTGATTGTAGTTTTGTGTGGTGAAGTGAGAAAAAGTCAATGAATAAACGTTACAATAAGAAAATAAATGCTCGAATTCTCCTTTGTATCGATGAAATTGAGATAAAAATTAAACAACATAGTTGCACACGTGGTTCCAGTTATTTCTTTCTTTTCTTTTTCATTCTTTCACATTGTATCATGCATAGAATATACATATATGTGGGCGAAGAGCGCGCCCATTGTACCATTCGGTTTGGCACAGAAAAATGCTTATAAGTCAAGTTCTTCTCAATCGATTTTGATAATTTTTTTTGATTTGTTGGCCTAAAGATGACGATTCACTTCTGAAAAAATCAAGATTCCAGCTGTTTTGGTTTCGGAGAAATCATAGTAGCAACGTTAAATACTAGCTTTCTAACGGCATCTGGCGGAAGAACATGAACATTTTTTTTTACATTGCGATTTTTTTAAAAATTGTGTTTTATAACTAGACTTGTAGAACTCGTCGAGAGCTTTCAGAATATGTCCTTAGTTTTAGTTGTGGACAGAGTTTTATGGATGAAAAACTATCAATAATAGACTTTTAGACACTTTTCGTTTTGGTGTAGATCGAGATTAAAATCATTGGCTTTCAATTTCTAGAAATTTGATTGGAACAAATTTTTATCGAATATGAAAGAGAGAGAGGGGTAAAATAATTTGACAAGTAAAAGACGTTTGGTTCATAAACTTCGTTAATACAAAAATTTGAACAGAATATAAAAAATACCATATTCACACTAAATGTAGATCGAGATTTTAAATTTTGCGATGGTTATAACTCAATGAAAACTAATCCGTTTGCGACCAAAATTTGATCCTTTTTTCATCTCATAGAGTAGAGTAATATTCCAAAAAATCACGCAAAAAACTCTCTCCGTTCGGAAGAAAATTCAGTTTTACTACGAAAATGTAGATCGAGATTTTTTCAAGTAATTATGCACTAAGATTGAACGATATCTGTAAACAAAGTACACAAATCTTCTCTGGATCAAGGACTATTTCACATTACTATCGTTTTTATATCTTTATATCACGTTCGAAAACACAAACATGAATAAGAGTTCTTATGAATATAGGTGGAAAGAGAGAGGTGACAGGGTATCTATCTATGTCATCATGGTTTCACCATGCTTAAGATGATGGAAAGCAACAAGCCATAATCATGGGTTAACTTAGTTTATATCGTGGATCTCCACCATACCATAGGGAAGTGTAGGGAAAATATCATTTTCATACACACTCGACATCACTCTATCAAACGCTGCACTTAGTTTGTTCCTATCGTAAGATTTATTTTTTTCTGCACACAGTACAATGAGTGCGCTCTTCATCCATGTATATATACATAATCGTTCTCTTTATATCGCTTCGTTTTTCTCAAATTTTTTTTTTCTACTAACTTGAATTTTATCCACGTGTGAATTCATATATAGTAGAAATTTTCAAAATTAAATAGTCTTTCTTCATTTGTTAACACGTTTACAAAGGGGAGAAACAGTGATACAGTATCAATAATGTATGATTTTCTCTTTTTCTATGTATTTTAGTTTGAAAAATGTTCAACATAAACCATAGTGGAATTGAATTACTTTCAGTAGAACTATGGCGAGAAATATTTGATTATTTCGATGTGAATGATCTATGGTATTCATTTCGTGGTTTGAATAAACAAATCGATGGAATTATTGATCAAGTACAATTACATTTAAATTTTGAAAAAAAAAGCAATTATGATTACTTCATAAAAAATATTTTACCATCAATAAATGTTGTTAATATTCAATCATTAAAATTACGAAAAGAAAATAAAATAAAACATTTTTTTTCTATCTATTCTCTTAATTCATTAGTTCAACTTCGATTATTATCATTAGATGGTATACATTCTTTTAATGATAATTTATTTACATTTTGGAATCAACTTTCGTCTTTAAAATATTTACAATCATTGAAAGTTATATTTGGGACCAATTCTCATCCTAATAATGATCTTAAAGAAAAAGAATTTATAATTCGTTCGATATTTAATCAAGATTTTTGTCCTTTACTTACTTGTTTTATCATCAAAAATAAAGGCAACGACAATTTGAATACCGAACTTCCTATTCGTTCATTAATACAAACAACTAAAATGATCAATATCAATCATTTATCCATTGATAATTTGACTTTTAATGATTTAATTAAATTACTTCCTGCATTACAAAATACTAAATTATTTTGCATCAATGACGAATTATCTTGTAATAACAAGTTTTGTACACAACAGACAATGACAGTTGAAATACCATTGATGTTTGAGTGTAAAAAGTTAGATCTGATTTTATCAGACGATATTACTTTTGAACACATCGAATATATATTAAAACATACTCCATACTTAAAAAGATTGATCTTATGTAGTTGGTTTCATTTACTTGATGCAAAAAAATGGGAATTATTACTATCAGTACAATGTTCAAAATTATTAGAATTTGAATTAGTATGTAATGGTGATGATGATGATAATGATTATGGTAAAGCTGGACATGATTTTGAGGAAGAATGCAGAGCAACAACGTTTTGGATTGAACGAAATGCTATAATTAGCTATGAATTTTATTCGAATGATGATTTTTATTATACTATAGTTAAATTTAATATTGGAAAAGTAAGTTACTTGCAGCTCTTAACTGATTCTTATCCTGTTTAATATTACAAAAGAGTGGACAAACATATATATTCTCTTCATTTTAGACAAAAAAATTAAACGGATTATTGGGAATCTTCGAATGATATACATGTAATATATGGTCCTTAATAAATAAACATTTTTGGATTTATAGTTTTCTCTTCAATGTTTTTTTTTTGTTTCTCATTGAAACATATTTTGAACTTTTTTTCTTGTTTATTTATCGTAATAAAACGATCATTGAAACAAATAATCAATCTCATTTCAATGAAAACAAAAATGCTAAAAAACGGAAGCTAAAAGTAGCAGTTTAATTGATGCGTTCAATGTGCATAACAGTGTCTTTGTGAATTGGTTTTTGATCGATACATCCTCACTCCATATTGCAGGTTGAGGTACCAGTGGCACTTGCAGCATCAGCCCAAACGCATCCATATGGAGTCGGTTTTTCATTTCGTATTATTATTTCTTTTGTTTGATGAGTAATAATCAGGGGAAGCTCTGTAAATACATGTTGAAAGCTCAAAAGACCAAGAGTAGCACACTCTGCTCGATGGCCACAAGTCTCACTCACTGTTCGATGATAGATTGTGGCAGCTTCATGACCAAGAGTCGAACTGATAATCTTCTCTATTACATGCTGTTGATTTTCGTTATTCGGTAAATTGAATGGATATTGATCATGCGCAATGAAGATACGCATGATTGCTTGTGACAAATTGATCGTAGCGAATTCATTCTTAATAAATTCGTCGTACTCGAGATATAAATCAATATGAGGTCGTCAATCCTGATCGTTTCCAATTCGAATGTAGAATTCTGCCATCGGACCCGAGACAAAACACTACAAAACTTGATAATATTGAAAGTTCAGCACTTGTGTCCCGATTTTTCCCATAGAAATATAAAAGCATATCTCAAACGCAGATTATATAGATTTAAAAGGTGTGGTAGTCGCCACCCCGCCGCTTCCTGGATCCGCCATTGAGCGGTACTTTATGTAAATATGCGTAACAAGTGTAGCTGAATAGGTTTTCTTCGTAAAACACACATACATTTTATATCTCTAATGTTGTTTCGAAATTAGAGTAAGAGAAATTAATGAAATTTTCAATATTTGATCACTCAGATTCTATTGTTTTAGATCCATTCATGAATTTTATTCTTTTCTTTGGAATACAAATCTTCATTCAATACATTTTGTTCATCATTTTCAATTTATTCAGCAACTTTTCAATGGAAAAATTCGTCGCCTTCTACATTTTGCATTCGAAATATTAATTTACTGAATTCAGTAAAAAAAATGACGATTGATTTTAATTCATAACATTATCAATAGAATCTCATTCATGATGATATTTCACTGGCTTAATTTTGTCAATTCGTTCATTGAAACTTTTCCCGATATATCGTTTTATATTCGAACCACGAGTATTACCAGATTGATTTTGACTCAGAATTTTCATAATTCTTCTGAAAAGAATT